CAATTAGGGCTTTGCAAGGCCTCTGCCTTCCATGGAGGTGGAAAAATTAATGGAGAAGTGAGAGGAGAGGTGGTGGGGCGAACCAGAATATTCTTCACAATGTGGTTTAGTGGGAATGATGGGATCCAGTCAAAGGTTGGACTTGATGATCTTCGAGGTTTGTTCCCACCTTAATGCTAATATTCCATTCTCTGTTTCTGTGACCAGCTGTCCTGGGCTTGGATGAGCAGGATCTGCACCTCACTAACCCTTCTTCCTCCTCCTGCTACTCTCAGTTTTGGCAAATTCAGCTCTGATCCAACTGGGAATTACTTTTATTTCTTTTATGTGTCAGCTTCCACACTACATTGAGGTGGGTGAAAGATTGTGGAGGAATTGGGGTTATCCCCAGTTTCCAAAGTATATTTTCCTCCAACAAGGCCAAGTGTGTCTCTTCATCCCTGCCTCAACTTCAGACCTGCTTAAACCACACCTAACCATGGAAAAAACACATGAAATAATGAACGAGCAATTTATAGACCTTTCCTCCTTTTACCTTCCCCAAAGGCACATGCAGCTGGGAAAAGTGTGGAAGCACACGTGTGTCCCCCAGAATGGGGTTGGACTCGGGCAAAAGGAACATATTTAAATATTAGACACCAACATCAATCACAAATCCCCACCAAACCAAGTCTCCCTAGATCTGGAGCTAAATAAACCACTTATCCCATGAAACATCATCCTTGGGATGGTATTTGTGTGCAGCCAAACACACTCAGACACCCTGTGATGAGTTCCCTACAAAATACCCTAAGAAAAAATGTCATTTTAGCATTTATCAGAATTTAGGACATGCTGGCAAACCATATCTGAGCAATTGTGGTATAATTCTTGTATTTACTGAAGTGAAAATCTGATCCCACTAAATTAAGCATTATAATAAGAGAAATAATTATCATAAATAAAGTAGGGATAAAATATTAAAACTCAACTGTCTTAAAAAATATTTTGGAGCTCACACAGGTTATATACACCTCTAGAAGATCAATTTTCCCTTAAAATTACAAGGATTAGAAAGGTAAGGATTTTTTATAAACCTCCTATAAGCCTCTCACCATCACAAGGGTCCAGGAAGAAGAGCTTTAAAAATGCATCAGATCTGGGGACTTTTGGGCCAGGTTGGGACAAAGAGGATGAACTCTGGACTTTACTTTCTCTCCTCTGACTCATCCTTTTTGCAACAGCTCTGCTGGTGACAGATCTTCAATGTGGAATAGAGGAAAGGCTGGAGAGATGTGTGATCTGTTGCACCACACAGGTGTGGTGACATCACCCCGGCAGCAATGCCCCCGCCGTGCCAAAAAATGATCGGTGTCCTTGGAGCCGGGTGCGCCCTGCCAGGAGCCTCCTCTTTTTTAGGATTGGTCCAAAGCTGATCAGGGAAGTTCCTGAGGATGCATTCCCAGCCCAGTTTTCCATTCAATTTCACATTCATTTGTGGAAGAGTTCACGGAACTGTGGAATCATGGAATGGTTTGGGTTGGAGGGGAACTTTGAGAGCATCCAGTTCCACCCCCTGCCATGGGCAGGGACACCTCCCACTATCCCACGTTGCTCCAAGCCCTGTCCAGTCTGGACTTGGAAACTTCCAGGGATCCAGGGGCAGCCACAGCTTCTCTGGGCACCCTGTGCCAGGGCCTGCCCACCCTCACAGGGAACAATTCCTTCCCAATATTCCATCCATCCCTGCCCTCTGGCAGTGGGAAGCCATTCTCACTTGTGCTATCCCTCCAGGCCCTTGTCCCAAGTCCCTCTCCAGCTCTCCTGGAGCCCCTTCCCCTTTAGGCACTGGAAAGTGCTCTCCGGTCTCTCTGGAGCCTTCTCTTCTCCAAACTGGGCTATAAAAGCTCTGTTTCAGGTCAGAAGAAATATTATCCTGTAGCCAAGGTCTTTTCCACTCTGAGGACCCATATGAAATGGGGGATAAGGGCAAAAGATGTTTGTATTTTTTGTTAAAAAGTTTAAATCCCCTCAAAAGTGAACATGAACTTGTGTGCTGCACCTTCTCAGGAGCTCCAGGAAGGTGCACAAGGACTTAGGGGCAGGAAAAATCCAAAACTGCTCATTAGTTGCAGAAACAAGGAAAGGAAACAACTTTCTTTCCTGGCCAAGCAATGCCCATTCCAGATACAGCTTCCACAATGGTGCTGCTGAGGCATAAATGTCTTTTGAATTGCATCTCCACAGCTGTGTGCCAGCTCTGAGCTGCTCTGTGTCATCCCAGTCATCCCAAAATCCCTGGGTTCGTTCCAGGAGCAGCCCCCTCCCTGCCCCTCAGCCCCAGCACGGTGCTCAGTCCCATGGGGAATTTAGGATCACATACAGCTATGGCATGAAGCCAGAAATAGCCTGGAGAGCATTTGTCTCTCCTGAGGCTCCAGGAGAAGGGCAAATGTCAGCTGATATTCCCTAAAATAGACACAACCTGCCTGCAGTGGGGCAGGAAAGCCACCAGGCCTGGGAAGGGGGCTGCAAGGTGGGGATCCCAGCCCCTGGATTTCCCTCTGGATAACCCAGATGCTCTCCTCTCTTCACCTCCCTGTGCTCACCTTCTCTTCCCTGCAGGAATGCAGAGCTCCTGACAAACAGCTGGGAGCTTGATTCCAACCTGAGGAACAGCAGGAGCGGTTTTCCAAAAGGACAGGCGTTAATCCCCCACATCCCTCACACCTTTCCACTGAGGGAAGGAGCTTCCTTCCCTCTTCCTGCACCTGGCTGATGTCTTAAACAGCCAAGAGAAGAAAGCAGCTCCAAGCTTCATCCAACCTGGCCTTGGACACTTCCAGGGATCCAGGGGCAGCCACAGCTTCTCTGGGCAACCTGCGCCCAGGCCTCATCACCCTCACAGCCAAGAATTTCCTCCTAATGTCCCATCTGAACCCACCATCTTTCAGTTTATCCCATTCCTCCTTGTTTTGTCCCTCCATCCCTTATCCCAAGTTCCTCTCCAGCTCTCCTGGAGCCCCTTCAGGCCCTGGAAGGGGCTCTGAGCTCTTCCTGGCTGCTTCTCTTCTCCAGGTGAACCTGCCCCAGCTCTCCCAGCCTGGCTCCAGCTGCAGCAGCTCTGGAGCCACCACCATCACCTCTGGCACTTCCAAAAGCCAGGCTAGGCTTGTGTCAAACAGGACTCAACAGGATGCAGACCAAGGATCAAAGGGGAGCAGCTGGGAAGGGCGTGGAGCTGCAACACCCTCTGAAGCCCAGTGGCCACGTTAGTCACCCATCGTTAGAAAGCCGAGGTGCGGGAGGAGGGAAAGGCCTCGTTCCATCTGCAGGGAGGGTTTGTCCGTGGATTAAGGAGGCAGGGTGGGGCTGTGGGGAGTTATGAGTGTGATCGCCTCACCCAAGCGTCTCCTGCTGACCCGTCACAGGTTGTGCAACAACTGGAGGCAGGAGCTGCTCAGGCACAGAAACCGGGACCCAGCTGGGCCTCGGCACCCTCACAGCCAGGAATTCCTTCCCAATATCCCATCCATCCCTGCCCTCTGGCGGTTTGAAGCCATTCCCTGTGTCCTGTCTCTCCATCCCTTGTCCCAAGTCCCTCTCCAGCTCTCCTGGAGCTTCCAGCACTGCTCTCACCTGCTCCAGCCAAGGATGACAAACCCAGGATCCATCTGCATAGGATTTTATTAAAGGAGGCATCACCCACAACTAAAAATAGTTGAAAAAATATTCTTAACAACCTTTTTTTTTTTTTTTAAGCTTTTTTTTCTGTCCTGAATAGGTAATTTAACAGCCACAGTGCTCAAGTGTCATGAGGGAAGTCTCTGCCCAGAAGTCAAATTTCCAACTGGTAGAAAAAGGCAGTTATTTTGTACCACATCAAGTTGGTTTAATACAGAAAAAAAAAATTTGTGACATCATTAAAAAAGAAGTTAATGTGGAAGACATGGGGGAAAAAATACACAGATCATTGGTGAGATTGAAAATGAGAATTTCAAACAGGACACAGACCTTGCAGACACATTTAATAACATTCCCTGATTGTCACCAGTTTCTTCCAGATCACTCTCTATAGGAACATGGTTCATTTCAGATTTTTAAAAAATTAAGTTGCTTAAATGGCTGTTCCTAAATGAGGCCAGTAACATCTTGGCAGGAGGTTTGAATTTCACCTTTGCCATGACACCTGCTCCAAGGCTTTTGTGTAATTCCATGACCATGGATAGTGCTTCAGAAGAAAGAACATTCCTGCTCCTCACTCTTGCTGACTGATTAAACTGGAGCTGGGAATGAGGGTAAGGGGATCAGACCCCAGGACACTGAGTGAGGTAAGGACACGGCGTGAGACCCATCAACTCTTTATTTTACACTTCCCAAAGGTGGAACAGAGGCACTGAGGAGTGGACAAGACACTCCAGCTCCTTTCCAGCCATTCATTTGCTGTCTCCAGGTCCCTGGGAGATAAACCAGCCTGGATCCCATCCTTTTGGACAGAAGACAAAGCCCAGCCAGTCTCTCCTCAGAGTGTGAAGTTTCACTGGCCCATTGGGCCAAAAATTACACTTGAGCTACATAAGAGTCACAAAGTGGCCAAAGTTTAAAAACATGTCCTTGCAGCAATGTAAACAATATAAAAATGTTTCAGTAACAGCCACTACCCTTGAGCTTAAATACCTGTGAAATTCCTACTTTGCCCACAGATGAAAGGATAAAATACATACAAAACCAAGAGATATAAGTGTAACAAATGTTTCAAATAACTGGGTTTCACCACAGAATCTTCATTGGAAGGTTACTGTTGTGAGGAAACTTAATCCCTGCAGGAGAGTTCCTGCACAGAGACAAAACTCTGATCATGGAAGGGTTACAGAGAACACAACAGACTTGCAACCACCAAAGCATTGTCACAGAAAATAGAGCAAACAAGTTGTAGGCAAAAAAAAAACAACAACTTGAATGTGCTTACCTACACA